GGCACTGTTGAAACGCTACCTGGTCGTGGCAGAAAGAAGATGCTGACTTCGACTGCTGTGCGCTACCTGAAGCGTAGAGTGGAGAGAAGTCCCCGTGTGACTGCTGAGGAACTGAGAAAAGATTTGTCAGATGTGGGTACAGAAGTTTCAGCCCAGACAATAAGACGCACACTGCGTAATGAAGGCCTCCGTGCCAGAACTCCCAGGCGTACCCCCTTGCTGTCTCCAAAGAATAAGAAGAGTCGACTGCAGTATGCCAAAAGCCATGTGGACAAACCACAAAAGTTGTGGGATAGTGTTCTGTGGACTGATGAAACAAAATTAGAACTGTTTGGGCCCATGGATCAACGCTATGTTTGGAGGAGGAAGAACAAGGCCTATGATGAAAAGAACACCTTGCCTACTGTGAAGCATGGTGGAGGGTCAATCATGCTTTGGGGCTGTTTTCCTTCTGCAGGTACAGGGAAGCTTCAGCGTGTGCAAGGTACCATGAATTCTCTTCAGTACCAGGAGATATTGGATGGAAACGTGATGCAGTCCGTCACACACCTGAGGCTTGGGAGACGTTGGACCTTTCAACAGGACAATGATCCCAAGCATACCTCCAAGTCCACTAGAGCATGGTTGCAGAGGAAAGGCTGGAACATTTTGGAGTGGCCATCGCAGTCACCAGACTTAAATCCGATTGAGAACCTCTGGTGGGACTTAAAGAAAGCAGTTGCAGTGCGCAAGCCTAAGAATGTGACTGAACTGGAGGCCTTTGCCCATGAAGAATGGGCGAAGATACCCGTAGATCGCTGCAAGACACTTGTGTCAAGCTATGCTTCACGTTTAAAAGCTGTTATAACTGTAAAAGGATGCTGTACTAAGTACTAAGATTGAATGTCACTTGGGGGTTGAATAAAACTGATAATGCTGTGAGCACAGAAAAGACATTTGTGGTTATTTCATTATAACTGTTATGTTATATTTGTCTGACCTACAAGTGCCTCTTTAATGTAAATGTAAGCAAGATGACTGAATGATCAAAAGCAATGTCAAACTGGCCAAAACACTCAATTTCAGTGGGGGTTGAATAATTTTGGCCACAACTGTATGTTGTAGAATTTGAGCCATTTGGAGATGCTCAGTGTGTACACTGCCAAGTCCATTTAAGAGTACGTAGCATGTACAGAGACATTATTTAATATACTGAAATGTAGATAATTAAATATTAATGCAACTGATACATTGTTGTTATATGATTGAATTATTTTTAGCAAAATATAAAGAGTGGATACATTTATCTTGGTAATTCCTAGAGTAGATAGAAAACAGGGATGTGATGCTGAAGTAGGCAGGTGACATAGCCTTAATTATTATGTTACCCTCAATGATTTTGTTTCCTATAGCAGATGGTCACTGTAGGAAATGCATCACTACACCTGGGAGAGTTTTGCCACTGTCATACATGCTGACATGATAGCAATATATACCTACTCCAGGCATCAGTCTTTTAACTCTTTCAGTGTACTAAAACCTTTTCATGAAATGTAAGCTCTGGCATATGTTCAGGGACATTTTAAAATGTGAATATTTAACCCTGGAAATTGTCTTATTGAATTGTATGTGCTTGTTTTATTTTTATATTACTTTTGACTGGGTGTTTGATAAAGTACCTTGATATGGTAATATTTAGTTAAAGTACCTTGATATGGTAATATTTAGTTAAAGTGCCATAACATAGAAACAGTGAAATTACAACTTGGGGTATTCACAAATAATTAGATCTGTTTTTAGGTGTGTCCCCATTCCCTCATTTCAAGGGAATGTACTGTATAGTGTTTTGCATAAGAGACTAGAGCATGGGTGTTCAATTCATATCAACCGACGCCCGGGACATGTAGTTCTGGGCGCCGGGCAGGTAGTTTTTTTAGCAAAAGATCAGCTCCAAGTGAGTGCCGAATCTTCATACCCTCCACAGACACGCAGGTGCTGGCCGATCCGTGATCACAGAAGCAATGGAAAAAAACAGAATGGTTGGCCTCACAAACAGCAATGTAGTGGATGAAATCCTTTATTGGAATACTTTACATGCAGTATGATAAGAACATGACAGCTCCAAGACAGGACAGAGGAGTAGTAGATGCGTTTGAAACGAACACGTGCTTAGTCATCACTGATTTTCACTTGTCAGAGGAAGCTTTAAACAGAATATAACAGCTGACGGCAATTGGCAATTAAACGTGAATTAGGAATAACATAGTATACAAATCACATGACACAACTTTAAACATGACACATATACTGACAGAAATGAAACGCACCTCTGATATTCATTGTACCTAGAACAAATCACAGATATATAAACTTTGGAACTGGCATAACAAGCAGGGATACATAAAACTAGGGATGCACCGAAATTTCGGTGGGCGAAATGTTTCGGCTGAAAACACTCTTTTCGACCATCAGCTGATAAAAAAAGCACTGATACAGGTGCCAAAAAACCCCGCCTCTCGCCCCTGTTCACCCACCGCTGCCGCCCCTCGCTACCGCCTGCCTGCCCGCCGCTGCCGTCACTGACCGCTGCTCGGTAGTTCTCAGCCTTACCTGAGAATCCATCAAACGATCCCAGAGCTGGGCAGAGATTAGTGAAGGAAAGATGGCCTCCATTCATCTCCATGCACTTGGAGGACTGGAGCAGTCACTTCTGGTTCCGGCCATTATTTTTTTTTACAACATTAGATCGATGCTTTTTTTGATCTAATGATTTACATTGCGGAGGGGAGATGTGGGGTCTTATTCACCCCATATCTCTCCGTAAAGAGGACCTGTCACTAATTATTTCTATCACAAGGGATTCCTTGTGATAAGATTAAAAGTGATTATAAATTATTTTAAAGGGACAGTGCAAAAACACCCCAAAAATTAAATAAATGAAAAAAAAAAGTTAAAAGTGCCCCTGTCCCCCCATGCTCACACGTAGTAGTGAATGCATATGTAGGCCATGCCCACATATGTAAATGGTGTTCAAACCACACACGTTAGGTATTGCAACGAATGTCAGAGCAAGAGCAATAATTTTCACACTAGACCTCCTCTGTAACTTTACACTACTAACCTGTAGAAATTTTTAAAGCAACACCCATGGAGATTTTTAAGTACCGCAGTTTCTCGCCATTTCATGAGCGTGCGCAATTTTAAAGCATGAAATGTTGGGTATCTATTTACTCACCATAACATCCTCTTTCGTATTTTACAAAAAAAATTGGGGTATATATTGTGCTTTTTATTTGTTTTTTTCTCCAAAAAATATTATATACTTAGTTTTAAAAACTACGCATTCCGGTTTCGGTTTTTGGCCAAGTGCATTTTGAATTTTCAGTTTTGGCACCAGAATTTTTATTTTGGTGCACCACATAAAACCCTTACTGTGTGCGGTGCAGAAGGAAGAAGGGGAAAAAAAAAAGGAAAAAGCAAAAAAAAAAAAAAAAAAGCTTTTTTAAATTGCTCTGCATTGTCTAAAAGGTTCAATAAAGTGCCATAACATAGTGCACAAAAACACTTCAGAGCCACAACCCAACATTCACTGAACCCCCTTAAATCCCATATGTATCACCAATTATTTCCAAAAGATTTAAATGATAAACTTCAGGTATGTGTTTGGTAGATATTGGCTAGTATCAGGATAGTATGCAAGCACTTCAGCAGCAAACAGAAAATGCTGTGGGCCTTTTTTTAACACATCTACTGCTGACAGCCCCATTGTGGTCTACAGCCTCTACCTGTAGTGTATCAGCTGTGGTAATTTGGGTTACTACATTTGAGTACCACATGCATGAAGAAACACATGACTCTCAAATACAATCCTACTACTCTTGCCTCTCATTACTTGCTTTCTACATCTTAACTCCCTTATACAGCATTCTCCTGCTGAATCTACTGCAACATTTGCTGCCTCTAGTGACAGGCAGTGAGTTCTAAAAAAGGGGTTTTGAAGGGTTAGGATGCACAACATCAAGCAAGGAAGACGGTCATGGGGCCATGCTGAGGAGGATCAATTGAAGGTTTGAACCTCTGCAGAATTCTTTGATGGTGACAGCACAGTCAGCTGTACCCTTTTCTCCTCACTGGCCTTGGAACCAGAAGTCTCCCCCAAGCACTCCAGAGCTCATGCAACATCCCAGGCAAAACATGAACATGCTGTCACTTCTCCTGACCTTTTCTGGTTATATGGCACTATAAATGTGCCATGCAGTGTTTCAAGGTGAAAATGTACAGACTTTGGCTACCTGCCCCTCCACAACCCAGTAGTAATGACAGGCAGCAGTAAATGGAGGAGGGAAATTTTATGTAAGGACAGGCAACAATAGTGAAAATTTAACCCTTGTTGAATTCTATGGCCATAGGCTGTCCCACCAGGTTTAGAATGTTCAAACACACTATTTACAATTTTCCAGGGGTACTTACAATGATCAACTTTTATTTATTCATGTAAAATCTTTATCCCAAAAGAAAAAAAAAACGTTGCTGTAACTGCAATGTGAGCTGGAGTTTGGCTTCAATTTGTTGGTGTACCTAAAGCTTTTAGTACATCTAACACTACCATCCCCCAGACTAACAATGCTGCTGTCCAAAGGTGCCCCTGTGCTCGTTCATCCACAGTAAGGGTACTCTGATACAGGAGGTGTGTTACTGGCAAATTCACCTGTTAGAAACAAAAGGAAAATGGCTAAGAAGAAAACTAATGCAGCCACCACATCTAAAGATTGGAAAGCTGCAGTATATTACATTTTGGTTTTGAGTTTAATACTGCTTTAATATTTTAAAAATCCCTTGTTCGCCGTACCCACAGATTTCCCAAGATACATAGTATTTTGCTTTCTATTTTAGCAGACCAGTGCCTGCACGCCCCACAATAATCTGTCCCTATGAATTTTTTCAGCAGCACTTCCTATGCTTTCCCTATCACAGTTAAGCATGTTTTCATTATCACCAGTGGTGTATTTAGGTTTTGTGCTGCCCTAGGCAACACAAAAAAATCGTCTGCCCCAACGGACACTGACCAACAACCCCCCCCTTCCCCCTCCCATTAAGAGAGCCTGACATTGACCAACAACACCCTTGCCCCCCATCTGGGAGAGCCTTCCACTACCCCCCCCTTCCCGGTGATAGAGAGAAAGACTTCACAGCTCCGGACATCTCCAGGAAAGTGAGTCAGGCTCTACATACACCATCAAGCAGCCCGCAGCCTCTCTGATCCCACCTGGTTACCATGGCACGCGTGTCCCTTCTACCATCCCTTCTTCTGGGGAGAGGTGCTGCCCCCCTGAAAAATGCCGCCCTAGGCAAGTGCCTTGTTTGCCTTGTGGTAAATATGCCCCTGATTATCGCTGTTAGGAAGCCAATCTTTTATAGCAAGGAGTATGCTTTATTCTAACACCTTCTTATTGGCCCTTCCAAACCATCTGACTAAAGCCAGAAAGTACATTATTGGTAGTTGACCGCAATAGCAATGGAATTATGCGTTACTTTGCTGAGTCTGAAAATGGGCTCCCCTTGTTTGCATTGAAGTTGTAATAAATGTCTGAATTGTTTGATAGTGTTTAAAATCTATTCACAGAATACATGGAATTTTGCCAAGCTGCAGCTGCTCTAGGTGTCTCCCAGCTTTGCTTCCTCTGCACATATGTAGATGAATCTCTGACTCTTCTCCCCTCTCCGTACCACACTACTGGCCCATCTCTCTCATGGACAGCCTCACTAGCCAATAGTGAGGCCAAGGACTAGAAATGAGCCAGGTAGAACTGGTGACCTTCAAATATGGAGACTGTTCTACAGAAAAACTGTTCTGATTTGCAGAAAATTGAAGTCTTGTAATTATATAGGATTGATGTTTAAAGTGCACAGCATGATCAACATGTAGGAACACATAATAACCAGAAAGAAAATACCTGTCTTCAGCACATCACATAAAGATTAAGGGTGCTGACCTCTGATTGGTTGCTATTATTTACTACGCATCAGTGTGCCTTGCATTATGTTCAAAGCAGACTTGTCACCAGAAAATATAAAAGCTGGCCTTGGTGACCTAATTATGTTGGTTACCTGGATGCTATTCTAACCCATTGACTTCAACAGTCTCTGAGTAACTGAACCAGGAATATGCAGATCAGGAAGATCAGAGCAAAGTATGGAGTTCTAATCTGTATAGTTGTTCCAGGTCAGTGACTTAAAGTGTTGAAAAAGATCAGCATGACAGGCAAGTAACTAGCATTGTCGAAAGGAGAGTTCAGCAATAGCAGCCTCCTCGGTTCTCTTGTCATGTTTCCTTCTAATAAAGCGTATTCTCTGCTTTTACTAAACTTCCCACAAGAACTCATATCCTCAATTTTTTCATTCACCTACACTTGCAATAAAAACATTATGAATAGAAAATTTGTTATATGCCAGAAAAAGCTACAAACAAGTTAGAAACCTTATTTAGCCAAACATCTGAAAAGTTACAGTTCTCATCCCCGAGGCAGGCTTGTCATTTATAAGGCTGATGGAAGAGTTAATTCTTATACATATTTTCAAGGCTTTTTGCATGATTTAGCCCTTCTGCATAAATGCCCCGGGGCCAAATACATAGGAATGCCCTGTCAGCATCTACTCTTCTGCCTTGCCGGTGATAGCCACACTGCACTCTTCTTTTCCCTTTGGGGTTGCCCTTGGCAAGCTTTCACTGGTCATCCCTAGTGGGCTATATTCAACTACAGGCACATCTCATCACTCACTGTACATTGTAAATGTATAGCAGAAGTAATAGATACTCTTCACCTTTTTAGAATAGCAGATTGATGCCCGCAGGACAACTGCTAGTGTTCTAGTAATGTCTGGCTTACTACTGAAAGATGCTTTTCAGCCAAATATTATAAGCCTTGTCTCTGATGTATAATGGTTTAACTCTAACAGGACTATTCGAAAATGTGCAGTTAAAGGGAATTCTCTCTGAAGCCCTGTAGGAATATGTTGAAGACTGTATAAGACTCATTTGTTTAGTAATTTGGAGAGGTTCCTCCCTCCCTGCTGCACACTATTTTTACTACCGGTAGCAAATGCAATTAAAGTTGATTGTAGCTACAGACATTCAGCCAATCTTATTTAGTAATAATGAACATGGACCACCACTCCTCCAAGGGGCTTTCTCAGTTTAAATGAGTGGCTGGAACAAACACCCACATGTGTAACCTTAGTCCAAACATTGTGTTGTCAGGAAATGTGCCAAGGCAGAAGTTAATTGTCAAAAAATATTATAGAACTTTTAAACGTTGTTGAACAGGTGGGTGTAAATGCTAGGGTATGTTCCTGACACGTATTTGATCTGAGGAAGCCATCTGAATGAGTTGCTTCATCATTAGTAAATAAGTCTAGCCACATCTAGTACTAGCTATACCATGACCAGGATAAATGACCCTCACAGGCACTTGCAATAACTGCTCCTTTTCCACTGTCATGCAGGAAAAGGTTGTTATCTGGGCTCACTGCCCTATTCATCCTAAAGCAATGAAGCTTTTATCTATACCAGGAGTCTTCGAATTGTGGCTTTGCTTGCTTTTACCTGGCCCTTGGGCATTATTCCCCCCATTGCCAGGAACAGTGGGGCATAGTTCCTGCCACTGACACCAAACAATGGGACACTATTCCTCCTACTGACACCAACAATGGGACACTATTTCTCCCACTGACACCAGTGATGGGGCACTTTGTCTCCCACTGACACCAGTGATGGGGCACTATTCTTCCCACTGACACCAACAATGGGGCACTATTCCTCTCACTGACATTAACAATGGGCCACTATTCCTCCAACTGTTACTGACAATAGGGTACTATTTCTCCTACTGACACCAATAATGGGGCACTATTCCACCCACTGACAGTAATTATGGGGCATTTTAAACTACTGATGGCCACGGCCCGGCCCCCCCCCCAAAGTTTGAAAGACAGTAAACTGGTCCTTTGATTAGAAAAGTAGAGACCCCAGATCTACACTGTTATAATACCAGCCAATGTAAGCAACAGTGGGAATCAGAGCCATCTGTCATATTTGAGGGCTAGTACTTCATCATGTCCACTAGCAAACTTTGAACTTTTATTGAGAATCTGTCTAATTAGTCAAGCAAAAGGAATTCAGAGGGGTTTCATGCACTGAATGGTTTTTATAATAAACACGTGCTACTCTGTTGCTACTCTGCCAAAGACATAGCACTGGGAATAAGTTTTTATCAGCTTGTACTGTATACTAGCATATGTGTTAACCTGGTATTTGAATGTTTGAACACTTACTAATAGTCACGGGAGTCAGTTTGGTCCTTGCATGGGATAAGTATTATAAGATTAAAGCTATAAAGGTTGGATTTGCTGGAATGGATATGCACTTAGAGTTAAAAGACTGAGAATTAAACAGCAAATGTAAATGCCTGAACTGGGCAACAAAAGGAATGCAATAATGTAGCAGAGTTTAAAGTGTTACTAAAAACCCAGGACCCTGGTGGTTGCTGAAATCTCTCTGTACTCTTTTCTTGGGCAAAAGGGAGTACATTTTTGGTGCTGGCAACCCAATACAGAAGCTTGAGGGAAAGTAAAAAAGAGTCAGCAAGTTTCCCTCAGTGTCCTAAAAGCCCAATTAAACACATCATTTATTACTGTAATGCAGCCAGGCTGCGTATAGTGTAGTAAATCTGATCTTATTTTATTGTTTTATTACACTAGTAAATGCTGCAGCAAGGGTTCAGATATCATGATAAGCAGTAATTCGTAATGTTGGATGATGGCGATCAAACAAAGCAGTGGCATAGCTCTCCAATGGTCTAAACATGTTCTCCCCCAGAGCACACCAATCAACAGTGCTCTCACTACCTGGGCAGTACTGTCAGTTGGTGCACTGTTATGCAGGGGGGGCATCAGACAACAGGAAAGCCAGACTGCTGCTTTGTGTTAGAGAGCTGCATCCCTCCTTCTCTAAATTACTGCACAAGGTATTTTAACCCTTGCTGCAGCACTTACACTTAAATTCCCCCCCAGGAAACTATTGTTAGATTTAATAACATATATGCAAGAAACCTGCATTACAGTAATAAATCATAAAAGTACAATTGAGCTTTAAAGTGGAACTAAAGTCTTTAAATGCTAGCAGATAGGCCTTGTTGCAGAAAAGATTCTGTATGTCTCTTTTGCCATAATAGCTTTTTATTCTGCCTAATGAAACATTATGTATAAAAAAAAATGTGTGCGTGTATAAATATATATATAATATATATATATATATATATATATATATATATAAAATATATATGTGTAAAGTGCTGCGCTAACACAACAATGCCTAGGGTGCCAGGATGAACTAACTCTCATGCACATGTGCTGGAGTTACGTCATCCCAAGCTGGCGAATGTGGATAGCCAAAGACATTGGACCTGGTGAAAATATTAGCAGCGTAGTAAAGAGAGATCTCTTGGAAGGCAAGTGCAAAGAATTAAGTTCCAGTTTAACACCTAAACTATCCCTAGCTATGAAGAAGATTCTAATGCTTAAACTAAACCTCGTTGTAAAATATAAAGGTCCACTAGAAGCCTCCTAGCAGTCCATTTCCTAATAGGCTTTTGTCAGTATATTCAGAACAGAAGCAGGGAAGAATCTGCATCAATCTTACAGTTTGCTAAAATACTTGCAAGTTCAGCTGTTTCAAGTACAAATTTCTAGTTTACTATGTGTTAACACTGTACAGTACTATATAAACAGGGCCAAATCAGCTAAGCTACAAGAATGGATATACTAAAGGTCCTTGTTGCAGTAGAGGTTTAATGTACAGGACATAGTCTGAATAATATCCAGGCCAAACGTTAACTGTTCTCTGTCTTCAAAATGTAATAACAGAAAATAATATGTAGCGATTCACCGCAGTGAAGTGGAACTAAAAGCTAGATTTCCTCCAATCTATTGGAAATGGATGCAGATTGCTTTTGCATTGATCTCTTTAAATTCACTTTGCCAATTCAATTAACTGTTGTAAAACAAATTGGCTAAATACATCTTTTATCCAAGATTCTCTTTATGATTAGTGATGATAAAAAGGGCCAATGTCTTTCAGTTATTATAATATCCACAAAGAGCAGAGACTTTTAAGTACTTGTGGTAGCTTGAAGGAAACCTGTGTAGTAGAAAATTCTGAGGGTGTCATTACCAAACTCCTTCTAAATGCTTATTGCCTCATAGTTATGCTAATCCTGTGTATTGAGTCCTCTCTTCTTAACTTGACCTCTACAAAGACCTCTGCACCTCTGACACCTCAGGTATACACATCAATAGACACAGACTGATAACCTTTGGCTAGTGCCTCAGGG